TTCAGGTTAATTTCCAACAATCCACTGATAGTACTGTGATCTGGAATAAACCCTCTGGAGCAGGAGCCCCTCGGAAAACAGAGGATGGTGACAGCTGCCTGTCTATCTAACCTCTCAGATGACTGAGAAACAGATGCTCCAGAAATTAGACCAAATTCTTGTTGGAAGCAAGGGCCTTCAATTTAACTGCTACATTTTTGCCTGAGAACTTCCAACTTATTTTAAACTTGCTAGAAGTTTTAGTAGATTTTATTAGAATGGAAATAAATTAGAGGAGAAGAAATCTACTGCTACTTAGTTTAATTCCCGAAGAACTGTCTGAAGAGCCAGCCACTTCCTTCTTCTTGTGCAGCCTTCTCAAAAATTAAAAAAGTGAAAACCCGACAGCTTGCAAACATGCAAAAGCTTCAGCTCTTTCAAGCTAAGAAGAAAGAGGAAAAGAAAAGTAGAAAGAAATAGAGCAAGAAGGAAAGAAAAAATGAGAAGGAAGGGAAGAAAAGAAGAGAAAGATAAAGAAAGAAAGAAAGGAAAGAAAGAAGGAAAGGAAGAAAGAATTATGTAAAAATCCAGAAAAGATCCATGTTGTTTCCTTTTCAGAGATTAAACACCATGTAAGTTCTGCATGAAGCAGAGTGGAGAAATCAGTGTTCTAACACACATGCTCAGTGCATTGATTCCCTCTTTTAGTTGCTGTGATGATGTAAAGTGTGATGAGAAAGGACAACCTTGATTTCAAATAAAAGCATAATATGAGATATTTTAAAAGAAATAGAACTGCCATTTTTTTTGACACAGAAACTTATCATTAAGATAGTCAATATGCAATACTATAAGCAATTAATTTTTACTGCTAATAATGGAGACAGAAGTTTTTTAAAGCTGTTGTCCTCAGTGAACATGAAGGTGAGCAGGAAACTCTTGTGTTCATTTCAGTGTGAACAGTCATAAGTGAGTCTGAAATATTGCTTCCACAACGTATAGACAATTTCTTCTAAGTTTCATAGGTGCAACCAAGGATCACTGGCAAAGTGACTCCAACTTCATAATTCCAACTGCCACAATTCCAAAATTTGCAGAAATTTCTTATACCTTCAAAACCACAAGAATGGTTTAAAATAAAATAATTTAATTTAAAACCACAGAAAAATAATTAGAAACTTGAAGTTTGAAAATGTGTTGTGCTCTGGATCCCCATTCATTCTATCCATACAGACATTTCCTAATGTGAAATATCAAAGTCCCGTTTCTCTTAAGAGTATTCTATTGACTTCAGCATGGTGGTTAAAGCTAGCTGCATTTTATCAATGGCACATACTGTATCCTGAGGTAAACTCAAAATGAGACCCAACGATTACATCTTGGAAGTAATCTGTATTTCTCTAAAAAAAAGGAGAGAGAAAAGAGGACCCAAATAACACAGATGTCCTTAGAGAAAGGAATTTGAAATGGTTAGGCAGAACAAGATAATTAGGAAGAAATAAAAGGCATGACAAAAGTAATTTTTCATTTCAAAAATGGTGTTGCTCAATCTTTGTCACCTATGGATTTAAAAGTAAAATTCCATAAAGAAAAAAAAAAACAACACCAATGCTCAGAAATTAATTCCCATTAATTTCTTAGGTGTTTTACAAAAACAACAATGGCAAGATACAGTCCATCTCTTCACAAAAGACAAATACATTTATTTTTATTTACTATAGGGAGAGGCAAGGCATACATAGCTTGCATGATTCCTAAACTGGCACAGTCATGTGTACTGTCCTATGCTATGAAGCATCTGAATCAGCAACTGTATAACCTCTCCCATACCCTACCTCTGTAAATAAAAAGTCTAAGCATCTTTTTAAGAATCATTGAATCTTCTTCATTGAATCAAAGATTCAGGGATACAGCTTGTTCTACACACAAAGGTGGCTTTGCTTGACCTGAATACAGTCAGAAGTCTCTTCCGACTTTAACTGGTAAGCAGCCAGTAGGTAAAACACAGACTTCAGCTCAATAACTAGTAATAAAACAATGACTCATAAATATACCACCAAGCTACTGGTAATTCTAAACCTCCAAAAAATGCAAAAAATGAAGGGATAAATATGAGAGTGATAAATATATCCTGTGAACAAATGAATATTTGCTAACAAGAGTGAAAATCAGGAAAGAATACTGATGCACACAAAAGGCAATACAACTGACTCTTCATTTGTGCCATTAATAACCTCAAAAACAGTTTGTGAGTGCACAACAGGCCATGGGCCGACCCAAATCTTGCATGCTAAGAAAAAACCTTGTTGTTAGTCCAGGGAGTGAGACAATTGTTCGATCCACTGGGAAAAATGCAGTATGTCTACGTAAGCATACACGGATCTTAACATCACTTTTACTCATTCAGGAATCTTGCACAGCTGCAATGGAATAGGTATGTTTATATGTTTTATAAAAAGTTCTAGCTGAATGAAATTCAATTCCTACTTGATTGCCAACTGCAGTGTAAAAAAATCATACCTAGGAGTGTGATCAGAACGTACTATGAAAGCCTATATACTTCTCTGTATTAAAGACCCAGTCAAATAATACTGGGATCAATGCAAAACCACTGGGATGGCAAAATTAAAAGTTGTTTTCAAAGTTATTTTCAATAGCTTTGTTCTGACCAGTCCAGAAAACATACCGCTTCATCCCCCAGAGAGTGTAATTACTTCTTGCAAAGAATCTGTCAACAAACATAATTCCATTTTTTAATCTTCAGGACCTTAGGCCAAATACAAATCTCAGGAGACCGCATTTTTTCCAGTTGTAACAAACCATGCCTTTGTATTATTACAGCTGCCTGCTGCACCACCCCAAATCACAGTTACAGAGACATCTCATGAAAATATTATTGAACCCTTAGGATCATTATGAAGTTTCACAAACTACTGAGAACTGTGATTGTTATGTTTAGAGTGTGTTAACCACTTCAGGGAAGTGGTAGCCTGCAGCTAATACTGCACATGCATAGAAATAATTTCTAAGATCATATTTTGTCTCCTCTGAAATTTACATGTACTCACTATGCTTACAGCTTATTCACACAAATGTAACAGACCAAGAATGCTCCCCTTTGCTCTTCCATAATACTAGTTTCCCATTCTTTTAAAAGACGTTTTATAGAGGCCCTAGAAGAATGTTGCTTTCAGAGAAACTTCACCATTAACACTGGCAAATTTCATACTGTTTACCTTTCTGGACTGCTTAGTTAGCATTTCTGTGATAGATAGCAAAACAGCTGCTGTCCTAGAACATACAATTAGGGCAAATCCAGTTACGAGCTTTCTAATGCAGTACCTTTAGTGTCATAAAGATATGACTGGGTAGCAAGTATGCACTGTTACAAGAATACTCGGAGTTACTTTAAATTTAACACACTCAAAAATATAAAATTATTCACTGTGAGGAATGCAGTATGAGCATTTCTATTTTAGTATCTTTTTTTGGCCATCCTCAAAAATTATATAGTAATTGTAAAGTATACAGAAAATGCTGATGAAGAAACTGAATGCTGAAGATCATGGCAAATATACATTCATTTTGTTTATGCATTAAAAATTATTCTACCATTCTAGGGTATATAAGGAAAGGGTTAGTTTAACTGAAATTCCCCAGAGACACTAGTACTAGTGTACCTGTCCATTTTCAAAGTACTTACCTTAGCCACAGAGACAGTTAAGAAATAACATCAGTGTTCATAGTTGTAATAGAGCAGCTACCTTCAGCTTTCCAGGAGTAAGAAGTGTCATGAGAATGCAAATGAGTTGTTTTAGTAGTAGATGCTTTTGAGCTCTGCTACTAAGGGAAGATTTTGTTGGAAAGGTATGTTTCATATTTGGAACAAAACAGAAATCAGCCTGACACAGAGGTTGTATGCACTGCTCCTAATCTCCAGGCCACTATAGTCAGAATACTTTGAATCCTTTTCCCATCCAGATTCCCATGCCTCAGGTTAAGTTTTTAAAAGATTAAAAAGCACAAAAGAAGAATGAAATTACTCTATCTCATTAGGCAATCTGTAATTTTGAGAAACTTGTGCACTCAGTTGAGGTCAAGAGGTCTAGATGACTGCCTTCTTCAGATCACAAATGAGATTAGCCCAATAACTGCCTATTCTGTTTCATTTACCACAGGACTGCTTCTGGCTTCGAACAGAAAATCAAAGAAAAAGGAAACAGGGAGGAAAGCTTCTAAAGGCACATAAAATTGCTGAAAATACATTAGAAAGCCAACAACATATCAAGTCTACATAGATTTGAAGGAGACTGGGCAGTGAAACATGAATCTAGACTCAAACTTTTCTGAGATTTAGATGTGCTCAGAGCTTAACAGAGACGGTGCAGACGTCCTCCCCTCCATCAACCTGGAGCCTATATGTAGCTCCAAATTAAGACGCCAATAAATCGGTTGAATGATCAATAGATCTCCATGCATGGTGAAGGGAAGGGTTTAAAAGTCCCCATATTTCACTTTCAACAAACAGGGAAGCTGAGGCCCAAGTAGAGGTAGCAGTTTGCTTAATCCTGTAGGAAACCAATGGCAGATTTTCCAGTTTAGTACCTCATCTACTGCCATGCAGTTTGTAAATTACAGGGAGAAATTATCCTCAAATATAATGTAATTTCATAAACCTGGAAAACTTTGGTATATCCAAATGAAAAGCTACAACGTTATTTTTTACAGTGCTTTCAAATGAGATCTGCTACTGCAGCTAACAATACAAGAGTTCAAAAACTGAAAATACATTCCTTCAAAAGACCCCAAGGAAGCAGCATAAAATGAGAAAATAACCTTTGAATTTGTACACAACTTCCAAGCAAGGTAGAAGAAGTCACCTTGACTGAATGAAAACAGATGTTTAAAATGCAGATCTAAAAATGATATAAGTATGGAGGAGGAGAGCGAGTGAGCATGTGAGAGAGATCTGATGGAAGGAGTCATGAGGAAAGGCATTAAGGTAGAGCTTCACTCCTTACTTGGCACAAGCCACTGATGCACATGTCCAGGGATTCAGTGTAGCACCGAGTCCCATCCAGAACCTTTGGCGCCAACTCGACAACCAGAGCCACTCCTCTGGCCTGGCACTTCAGCGAGCATGGGTTGTCGGGGTCATTAGAGATGGGCAGCCACTCATAAAACTGTCCTTGGTACTTGACATCATTGTGAGCAGAGCACTGCTGGGCACGAAAATCACCTGCTTCTGGTGGGCAGTCCTGCAGAAAAGAAAGAGGAAAAGGTCAGCAGGTCTATTCAGGATAGCCAGTTGCAGTATCATGTGGCCAGCTGTGGTCCACAGCTGCCAGATGTAGAGAGATTTTTCCATTTGGACAAAGAAGACTGATTGATACAGTCACAGCTACACAGAATTCAACTGGATAATTAGATCTTTCTTTCTTCTTCCCACAAAAGTATCGAAAGAACATCAAGACCATGTGTACATAAGCTTGGGACATAAGAAATGCACCGTACGTGTCTTAACGATAGCCCTGAAATGCTCTTGTTGAATCTCTTTGCACTTGTGCACATATGTGGAGAAGTGTGTGTGTACAGACATTCTTTTTCCAGCCAAATTTTCCTCTTTGCTTGAAGAGAAAGAAAAAAGAATTATGTGATTTAATTGTTTATTTATTTAAGCTCTACTCAATAGCTTTTTTTTCCTAGGTGACCTAAATCAGTTGGTAGGGCAACAAGAGCAAGAAGAATCAAAAAAATATGATACGTATTTGCATTTCTTTAACCTAAGATTTCATAACTTGCATAATAAGAGACTTATCATTATTTTTCTGGGAGGACCTTTAAAAAGTCCCTTTGTTAATCCTTCAGGAAGTTTTTGAGATATATAAACCCTACTCTGAACCCAGTACACCTGATACAAAAAATGAAGACCACTCATACTACTTAAAGTCTCTTGTTGATGAGAACATGAGGATTTTCTCACCCATATATACTTTCTTGTCATCATTTAGCACTAAAAACCATAAGTCATGCTCTCAAGAGAGCAAGAAGAAGTTCAAAATCATGAGACTTCAGGCAAAATAAACACGAGTTCTTTTTATTTCCTTTCCAGTTTTTAATCCTTGAAGAATGATATCTCAGGTTTTCTTGTGCAAGCAACCACAAAGGCTAGAGAGTAATTAGGGGGTTTTTTTGGGGGTTTGTTTTTTGAGTTGGTTTTTTTTTTAGAAGTAACCTGAATTTCTCACATAATTACAGGAATACAGGATCTAAACTTTAGGAAAAACATTAAACATTGTGAAAACTGTGACAAAAAAGTAAATGTAGGCAATATGGCTCAGATTATTAAGAACTCATAGTCCTCCACCTTACTGCTGTAAGGAAATCTGCTCTTCAATGATACCTCGTCAAATACCAGGTGAAATGATTACGTTATACCCTTTGCTTGATGACTGTAACATTTTTTTTATAGAGAATCAAAAATAACAATTATAGACTTGATAGGGCAGGACTTTGATGTAAATACAACCACATAACTAGACAATATCCTTATAAGATGTCTGTATCCTCAAACTACTTCATTCTATAGAAATTCAAGTATCATCAATTACAACTTTATTCACAGACTTCTTACCCTCCATCTAGGAAAGCCTTGTTTTTACTTAGGCAAAATATATCTTCTGAGGTTTAAATAATCACTTATCTTTCTCAGACCTTTTTCTAAACCTTTGTTCACTAATGCTTTTCTGCTGCTTTTAAATAAAGCAGATTATTATAGCTTTCAATTCGAATAGCATGGGGGCTGCATGTCACTTTATGACATTAAAAGATCATTGTTTAGTATTAAGGTCTAAAATAAAACTGATCTTAAAAATCAAGTTTTCAAATCTCCTCTTGAAGCAATCTGGCAGAATCTTGGCTGTAAATTTGACATTCTTATACCCTTGGCTTAAACCCAGGATAACCAATCTGGTCTCTCATTCACTGTGTTAGTGGCAATGTAGCTATGCCCATTTTGTTTGAATGTTGAATGATATTGGATTGTACCACTCCAAAAATTCCTTATGGGCACAGACAATCCATGGCCTTACGCCACAGATCTTCAGTTAATTTGCTTTGTACTGTGAGAGAAAATTTTCAATTAATATACTTTGTATGTGAGTGCAGGCCAAAAGTAATGGGTCAAGTTCCAGTCAAAAGTTCTGCTGTCTATGTACAAGGAAATAGTGTTTTACAGCTACAAATGGTTGAATGGATTAAGGTGTAAGAGAAAAAAAAGCATTTGGGCTAAATCTTACTCTAGAAAAATACGTATCAAATAGCAAAAATCTAGAGCTCATTCATCCTTTCTGAAAGTCAAGGCTGAAAGTCTGGGCTCATGACTAGAATTTTACTGCTGGAGGACTGAGACAGCAGACAGTATTTTTTTCTATTCACATACTACAGAATATTAAAAAAAAAAAAAGTAAATGATGGAAGTATTTGAGTTTGATTTTAAAGTCTCCATAAAAACCTAGAGCCACGGTCCCTTTTTCTGATCTGGGTACTGTTGATGCAGGACAAAGTTTGGACAGCAACACAGAGTGAAGAGAGCAGAAAAATATGTAGGAAATTCATTATTCCTATCTAGCTGTGTAATCAGAGAAAAAGTGGTCTTTATGTGCTGCTTTCAAATGAAGGATGAACAAGACACTTGCAGCTTGACCCAAGATCTGTTTTAGCTCTATTTTCAAATAGAGACAAGCAAAGAGGAACACTGTGGCTTTATTTCCTGCCACAAAATCTTCTAGTGCATACCCCTTTCTGAATTTTTCTGTTCATAAATTAATACAGTCAGATCTATTGGCTTGGCTTAGGCTTGTTGCAGAGATCCAAGCCAACTCTCTTGTTTGGTTCAAGCTTGGCTCCACCTTTGAAACTTCCTGGCTTGCAATAGCTTTACTTTTACAAAGACAGAAAGGCCCAAAAAAGCACACAACATACAGAGTTCAATCCTGCTTTGTAAAGTATTCAATACTGTTTGTTGTGTTGGATTTTACTTCTAAATCAAAGAAAGAAAAAAAAGTACAGTCAACATAACAAGCATTCAGGACACGGCAGGTGACCAGGGCTGATGTTAAATACTTCCAGTCTTTGATATCATGATCAAAATAAAACAATGGATTTAAATAGTAGAGCTTGTGTTTAAAAAAGTTTTCATGTGAAACTTGAAGCCATTCAAAGAATACATTCAAGCAGTCAGAAATGCAGACTTGCATACTTATCTTGGCACACAGATATGAAAAAGAGTCACAGCCTGGCCCACCACTTTTCTCCTACTGAAATCCTGAATCCTAAATCTAATTGAAGGCCTTGAAATCCCTTTCCCTCGGGAAGGAACTTTCCTTCCAGTGAGGAAAGCACATGTACTTGCACCTACACACATAATATTTGCATAACGTGTAATTTTTTTTATATCAAAACAGACAACGTTAAGAAAAGTGGTGGTCCAAATATTACCCATCATTAGACACAGTTCACTGAGACTGAAAAAGTAGGAACTGTACAGAGCTTGGTATGGCTTATCAATCTCTTCTCCATGTTTTTTTTGTTTGTTTGTTTTTGGTTTGTGGTTTGTTTTCTTTTTAAACTTACTTTTTATTGTTTATATTATATGTTGGTGGTGATCAGAGCCTCTTCATGCTGGGCTTTGTGTAATCATGTAATTAAAGACAGATATAAGCTCACAGCCTATAAATGAGTATTCTAGTTGCTGAAATAACAGATAAGGCAAAGGTAGTGTTTTGTTGCATACTTGTTCAAGTAGCAAATTGCTATTTTCTTCTAAACACTTTGTACACCTTTAAATAAGAGTGTGCTGTTTTGAGGCAGTCTTCCTGTGCCTCATTTCTGCAGTGCTGGCTCCTGGAGAGGAGAAACTATAGACTCTGACTCTACCGTGTTTTCCCCTTTTTAAAAAATCATCCCACTTTTGACATGTGCATGGGAGCATGGTGGAAGGGGATCCTCTACAGCTACCAGCTAGCACTGCTTCATCAGCCTGAGCAAAGTTACGTTTTACCCCACCTAAAGGTCTGATTCTGGAAGCTATCTAGCAGTAGGCAGTTCGTCTACCTGCACAACAGACTGACAGACAAGGGTGTGCCCACACTCAGAGACAGGCAGAAGTCACAGGCCTAGTCCTTGTAGCAAAGAATCCAAGACAGCATATCTTTGCATGGGCTGTATAGTTCTGCAAGGTATTTTGGTAACCATATCCGCATGGCCTGTGTTTGGCTTGGAGCATGCAGAAGCACCAGTACCTGGCCACAAAAGCACTAGAGTCCTGCTTCAGGTTACTCCAGCTTTTGTGCTGTATTCAAATCTTTCCAGTTTTGTTTTCTTTTGGAAATTATATGTGGGCCCCTACAGACATGAGGGACCACTGCCACTGCACTTCACTTGAAGAATCAGAAAGAACTAATAAACTTGAAAGTCTCGTCTAAGTCCACTTATCTTCAAGCTTCCTATTCATTCAGACTTTTTAAGGAAGAAAATTTCCAGTAAATAGGAAACAACTGTTCCTTCTCTAACTCTGTTCATCCTAGATGGCTGTTTCATGACCTTTAACTTGTGAAGGCTCATGAGATATTCCTGAAACACTGAGCTTGTGCTGGATACCTATAATCTCTGTTCATCCTGTCAGGTCAAGATTTCCCCCACCACAATAGAAATATATATCATTTTAAAGATGATCAGAAACCCTTTTGATGTATGAAATCTATTTTAAAATAAACACAGGAATTTCATCTTTACCTCTTAGGCACCTAATGCTGACCATATTATTATAGCTTCATATGCTTCCTCACATCCAAATTTTTTTTTTTAACTTGACCTTCTATTTTACCCTATTGTAATTCATAAGGTCCATGGAATTTTGCCATGTTTAAATCCCATTCAAAACAATTTCTATTAATCAGCAAACCAGTGGAAAAGATAAGATGAATCCCAGATGTCCCTTGATGGTGATAGGTAGATCAGATTTCATGGGACAAAAGAGGGTCAGGCTTTTTAAAGTTTACTTAGTGGGTGAAATGTGGAAGATCATATCTAAGCTGCAATAGGTGGAAACAGTCGAGGAACCTTAAACAGTTTACAATATACATGCTTGTATATTTGCAGAGACAGAGGATGATTTACTATACCTGGATCTTTTCCTCTGTGCAAAAAATGACTAACAACTGGACTAGTGCAGCATCTGACAGAACAGCTTATTGAA